TGCATTGATCGACAAGATCAGCATCAGCAATAACATCAATTGAACGTGGTAATTGACCTGTTGGAGCTTTTTCTGGAATTTCTTGTATAACAAATGTTTGATGATCTTTATAACAAGATAGACCATATTCTGTTTCTAATAAATTACCATCTTCATCCTATAAGAATCAATTATGAGAAATCAACAAAAATTTTTTTTTACAACAAATTTTTTACTTTAGTTGGATAAACAGAAGATGTAGGAAATGCTTCCAATGATGTCATATCAGCATAACGACGTTCCATAAATTTTTTTGTTGTTGGACAAAAATGAACACTTCGAGTAACTTTAGGTCGAATTAATGAACCTTTACAAGAAAAACAGAATTCACAAAAAAAATATTTTCTCAATTAAATTCAATATCTTACATTTATTTACAATGCCTTCAACACAAACAATTTTTCCCAGATATGAAGAATTTATTGTACGTGGTGATAGATGAAAACCACCAAAACTACAAAAAAAATATTTTTATTAAAAATAATCAAATAATATCAAAAAAAAAAATTTTTTTGATTTACAAACCTTCCTTCAAGTCCAATATAAAATTCTTCAAATTGTTTAGCATAAATTACATCTGTTGCTGAAATAAGTTCACGAAGTGCACGTTGAAAACACATGATTTCTTCAAAAGCATTTTCTTGTAAACTAAATATTCAATACATACATAACAATTTTTTTTTTCAAAATTTCACAAAACAAATTTACGCTTTTGTTCGTCGTGGATTTTTCCGACGTAAATCATTTATATTAACAATTAAACGTGAGTCATCATTTGCAATTAATACTCTTAATTTATCTTGATAAACACCTTCATCTTCCTAAAATTATAAAAATCAATTATTATTCATAAATAAAACCAAAAATCTTCACTTACTCCATCATCAAGAAAATCTAAATATTCACGTTGAATTGTACGTAAACGTTGTTCTTCAATTGGATCGACCATCTAGAAAATGTTCAACATATTTTTCATATTATAAACATACATTTACATATATATAAATTCATTGTGTAATATATTTTATTTCATACGAATAATGACAGCAGAAATAATGAACAAATAAACAAACAAAACAACACAACACATAAACAACATAATAAAGAAAAAATATTTTGTTGTTTTCTGTCTTTTTTTTTTCTTGTTTGTTTCATTTTTTTTTTTTTTTAATATCAATACAATCTCAAACACATGTACAAATGTGACAATACCAAGCAAAAAAGTTTTATAAGCACTAGAGGAAGTAATATAACATATGAACTATGTTCAATACATAAACAGAGAAAAAGAAAACAAAAAAAAAAAAAAAAAAAAGAAACACAAATAGTCCTTTTTTCTTCTTTTCTTAAAATTTTATTTACGTAAAAGTAAACATGATTTAAGAATAGTATCAATTAAATCGGGTTGTTTTGCCTTAAGTTCAGTCCAACCCTATTAAAAGAGAAAAAAAAAATTAATTAAATATCATAGAAGAAACTAAAAAAAATACTTACTGTTGTTTCCATAACATTGCCTAAATTATTAGCAATATAATCACATGTTGTTTGTTTTAACATTTCCGATTTCATATTATCGCTTAACATAAGTAACTCACTAAAAAACAAAACATTTTATATAGTATATTCTTAGAAAGATATTAGTGCAATCTTTACAAAATTGTTTTATTCTATCTAGTTTCGGACACATTTTTTCACTTAATATTCCAGAAATGCAATATATATTATAATGAGAGGTTACTCCTACAGGGTCTGTGTGACCTGGACATGAAAGAGAGTAGATGTATGCAGGGTCAAAAGTACTTTAGTTCCAGGCTCGGCAATTTTTTTCTACCATCCCAATAAATCTGATGTCTAGTCTAGTGAAAACCATTTCAGAATCTATTCGTATAACATTTTAAAAGTATACTACAAAACTTTGTTTTTTATTTAGTTAGTCGATCACCTAGCATTTTGTTCTGATTGATATAATTTATAAAGTAATTTCATTAAAACTATAGAATATTTAACTGAGATTTTCACTTCCTTTTTCGATAATTTTTTCCTCTAGCATAGTTCTAAATTTCGATCCCTCTCGTATCTCTAATAGGAAATATTCCTGAAGCATCTATTAGTTCGGGAGGATGTAATTTTCATTGCTATAGTTTAACACTCATTTTAGATCTTGCTTCATAAAAAAACACATACCAAGCATTATCGACACGTATAATATCTTTAAGATAATATTCAGCATAAGTTTTTAAATCAGGCATTTCATAATTAGCTGCAATTGTTAATAAATCAATAACAAGTGTATGTGATATAACAGCACCAGGTACAGCTAATTTTTTAATTCCACCCGTATAAACATATTCAAGAAAATAGAGAATTGTTTTACGATCAATATCATTAATATCAATTGTAAGAAGTGATGAATCTTCACTTCCACTAGTTCCTTGTGTCTCTGTTTCCATACTTTCACTTGTTGTATTTGCTGCTGAAGCAGTTGCTCGTTTACCATGACGACTAAAACAAAATCTAAAATTAAATTCATACTAATTTTTTTTTTTTGATAAACTTACGTTGGTTTTGCCGGTGGACTAACAGCTGTTGGATGAATTGTTGTTGTTGTTTCTTTTTCTTTAATCATTCTTGCAAGTACATTTGAACGAAGACCAAGTATAAGTTTATGAACACTATGTAATTCATTACCACATCGTAAATACATATCACACATGCGTTTTTCTAAATAAGCTGTATAAAATAATGTTGGCCAATATGTTGCTGGATCATCACTAATTGATGCTGTTATATTTGATTTATTTATATTTGTACGTGGTAATGCAACTAATGGTCGTGATATATATTTACGTTCATCAATTGATTGTCGTTCAAGAATTTTAATTTGACAATATAAACGAAGTTCATTACCAGGAAATAATTGTTGTTGTGCTTGTAATAATGTTGAATGTTTAATAAAATCTCCAACACCCCAACGTTCACCAGGTGCTAATACATGTGATGGTAATTGTTTTGTATTAACACGACGTCCACGTGCATCAATTAATGAAAAACGTATAACAACACGAACACTTGGACCAAATGTATGTTCCAAAAAAACAGATAATGATTCTTTAAAACGTTCTGTTTTACCACTTGGATAAAGTATAAGTGACCATTGATGTGGTGGAATGTCATTTTGTTGTGTTGTTGTTGTTGGTTGTGTTGATGTTGATGTTTTATTTTCATTTATATTTGAACCATTTGTTAATTGTTCATCATCTTCTGTTTGTTCAAGTGCTGCTGTTTGTATATTTGTTATATTACCTGGTCGTTGTTTATTAAATGTAAATTCACATGATTCAATAAAACTATTATTTGGTGATTCATTAACTAATGTTGAAAATTTTTCAATTTTCCAACGTAATTTCATTTTCATTACTTTTGATACAACACGTGATGAACCTTCAACCATTTTTGATGTACTTGTTTTCATACTACGTTTAGCTAAATCATCAATTGACATTAATTCAATACTTATTATTAAATGATCTTTTGAATCTTTATATAATTGTTCACATGTAGCACGTGACATTTTCATTATAATTAATTCATCTGTTATATTACCACCACAATCATGAACAGTTTCAGTATGAAATATACGACCCTACAAAAAAAAAGAATCATTTAGTAAATTGTCTATGGAATTTTTTTCTTTTTGAGCTGTACATGAGAAATTAAATTTATTCTGCGTTTTACTTTTTCAGCTACTATGACATTCATATTTTTCAATCTTTAGGTGCAAGGAACGTAATCAGAAATTGTGTGTATTTCATTCATCTACTCTTACAAGGACTAGACAATCAAAATATTCTTATAGTTTTAAAGATTCTGTATAAAAGGAAATAAATTTCGATTAGAACTTTACTTGTGGATTTGAAAAATTAATAAGAGCCCGAAAATAAACTTGAAGTTGACGAGATGATGTATTCATTAATGATGATGCTATATGATTTGGATTATTTGATCCTGCACCATTGGATGCTGATGCAGATACATTAGATGGATGTTGTGATGCAACATGTGATGGACATAATGATAAATAAAATTGTATTGTTGAATCATCATCAGTTGATGATGCACCACCTGTTGATGGTTGATTTTGTTGTTCTTTTGATAAACGTTGATGACCTTTTGGATAAAGACGAAGTGTCCAAAATTCTTTTTGTAAATCATATGGTGGAAATTCTTCACTTTGAATCATATCTCCACATTCATACCTACAGAAAAAAAAATAAAATAAAAATTATTTAAAATAAAACTTTTTCTTTACATTTGTGGATAAAAATCTTCAACAGTCCATTCAAATCGGACGTGTGAAACATTCTCAATTGTTGTACATAACATATCAGCTTCATTAGTTGGAATAGCTTTTGCTACACTTGTTATTGTTGTATTTGATGATGATGATAATTGTGCATCAGATTGTTCATCACCTCCACCTGTTCCTTCTTCATTCATACCTTCAACACCTTGTTGTTGTACAGATACATTATCATTACCACTTGTTTTATTTATACCTTGATCAGAAAGACCTGCTGTTTCACATACATCAGAAATTTGTCTTTGAGAGCAAACACTATCGACACTAAAAAAAATGAAATGTTTAAAGTAAAATTTAGATTGTTTTTTTTTTTACAATTCTTCTTACATTTCCATTCCTTGTGATGCAGTTGATGTTTCTTCTAATTGTACACCACCTGATCGTCTTGAAGTTTTTCGTGACATTATACGAGTATAGAAAATGAATCAATCAAATTAATAATCTGCAACAAATGAATAATTATTTTTATCAAATAGAACACAAAACAAAAAAAGACCAATTCTGTTGCTGGTCTATCACTTTTGAAACGAGATTCAATTATAAATATACAAAAGAAAATGTGCTTGATTATATATGTGATAGAATAATGATATAAAGTTATTTATAAATCAACTGGATGACTAAGTTGATGCCAAATCAGCATATAGACAGTTGTATAAAGCATAGTATAAAGTGAACCCCATGCCATATCTTGTACAAGAAGTGTAACCGGATATCGATTTGAAAATAAAGCACGTGTCGTACAATTAAAAACACCATAAACAACAAATCTATTAAACAAAAAGAAATTACAATCCACAAGTGTAATTGTATTTCTATAGCAAGTGTTCCACATTATACATGGTGTTTCACCATAGAATGTTAAAGATAACAGGATGAAATATTTTTCATGAGGAACATCTACTATAGAAATACTAATATAAATTACCCATAGAGAAAACCAGATACAAGTCCACTTAAAGCACTTGATGATAATGGTGACCAAGATGGTCTACGCTGTTTAAGTTTATCGAAATAAGCTGAAGCTAATTGTATGGCAATTAAATACCATCCAAGACCCATAACTAGAATATCGAAAAAAAAAAATATATATTTAATTTTTCTTTTATTTATTTAAATCACATTTACGAACTTGCATAGCAAACTATTGCTGCCACAACATCAACTTCCATTTCTTCTTTTTGAATATTTTGAACAGCTTGCTCATAATGATTTCTTGTTAAATAAATGTAAAGAAAATCCAAACATACATAGATAACACCACCGACAAGCGGTAAAATAATGTTTACTATACGACTATTCATTGTTGACGGCAAACCTTGAATCAATGTCAAGAAGAAAAAAACAAACGTTAAAAAAAGAAGCTTTTGTTTGCATCGAATGTTCTTTGTTCGTCTACGGACCAATAGTTTGATAGATAATTTACCTCCTTGTAAATAAATAATAGATGTCACTAGTTGATTATTTTATTTGAAGAAAAATATTTCGCGCATTATTATATTTTGTATTGTTCGTTTTCTTTTTTGTCTTTTAATTTATAAATTAATTTATTAATTGATTGAATATGATTGCAAATATTGAACGAGATTCATCAGATACAAATTTTACAAGATTAAAAGATGAATTAAATATTGAACGACATGAATGGCCAACAAAACGAGAATTTTATACTATATGTGGAAAATTAGGTGAAGGAGCAACGGGTAATGTGAGTAGAATAGATGAATTAATATAATAGAAGAAAATTTTATTCTAAGGTATTGTTCATTGGGCAACATGTACAAGTTGTTCAATAAGAAAACGAGTTGCTATTAAACGTATTCCTATTAAAGAATCTATGTATATTGATATTGTACGTGAAATACATGTTATGGCATCATGTTCACATGAAAATATTGTTCGATTTTTTACAAGTTTTATTTATAAAACTGAATTATGGATTATTATGGATTTATTAGATGGTGGAAGTGTAAGACAAATAATTGAAAAACGTATTCGAGATAAAAATGATTGGTATCTTGGTGTATTTGATGAACGTGAAATAGCAACTGTTATGCGTGAAACTCTCAAGGGTCTTGAATATTTACGTAAAAAAAAAAAGAAAAAAAGAAATAATTTAAAGAGATTTAAATAAAAAGAAGAATTTTTTATTTTAATTCAGATTCTCAACAATATATTCATCGAGATATTAAAGCTGGTAATATAATGTGTAAAATTGATGGTAGTATTCAATTAGTTGATTTTGGTGTTAGTGCTTTTATTACGGATTCATCGACACGACAAAAAGCTATAGCTCATACTTTTGTTGGTACACCTTATTGGTAATTATTCTTCATAATTTTTCTTTATAACTTTCTTTTTTTTTTTTATTGAATATAAATTAAATTTAGGATTGCACCAGAAATGTTATCATCTACTGGTTATGATGATAAAGTTGATATATGGGCTTTAGGCATTGTTGGTATAGAATGTGCTACAGGACATCCACCTTATTATAAAAAATCAGCTCAAGAAGTATTTCGTATTATATGTAAAGATACAAAAGGACCAACACTTGAATCAAATGCTGAACGTGAAGGACAATATATAAAATATGGTAATGAATTTCGTCATTTTCTTGTTATGATATTAGAACCATCGAGTATAAAACGTCCAAATGCATTAAATTTATTACAAACAGATTTTTTAATTAAATTTGCACAAGATAAAAAATTTGTTATTGAACATATGATTTTAAAAATTCCATTTGATTGTCTTGAACAACAAATTGATATTGATTTACAATATGATGATCTTAAAGATCGAATACAAACAACAAATAAAGAACGTAGTCTACAAACTGAAAATACAATTTTAGATAATATAAGAAATTTTTTTCGGTAAGAAAATAATCTCTTGTCAATAAAGTTTTATTAGTCTTACGCGCCACCATGGCTAACGAGAGAATTTCTTGAGATGTCTCTGTCCGATTTCAAGGATTGTTTTCTTATTAATACTATATAGTATTCTAATAAAATCCCGAAATAGATTTGGATTCTTATTGATGTTTGACTCAACTATCGAATTTCGCTCTAAAACTCTGTGCATATAGAGAACTCAATAAGACTAGCTTCTATATATCAAGAAATTTTAAATAGAGTCTGTTCAAGATCTGAAACTTTCAAGATATAGATCCTTTTTTCATGGATAATGTACACAACATCCATTTTTTGAAAACTTGATATCCCAAAGAGACTTCGTTCAAAACTTGTGAACTTTTTTATGGAAGTTAATCTAGTTGAGTTTTCGAAAACCTAGATCTTCTAGAAAGAAAACTCGATAGTTGAGTCAAATATCAATATGAACCCAAATTCTTTTCGAGCTTTTATTAGAGCACTATGCAGTGTGTATAGATAAAAAAAATCATTAAAATCAGAAGGAGATATCTGAAGAGGGATCCTCGTAAGTGGCTACTTTGTTCGACAACGTGCTGACTACATTGCGACATATATTTGCTCTTGTAGCTAACATGTGATTAGGTAGTATGTATTGGAAACTCAAGAACTCTGTGTTAGGCTTAGTGATGAATAAGACCAATCATTTTTTTTTATCACGGTCAGAAAAATTTTTAGCCCTGATTTCGTGCTTAGTAATGCATGTACTAGTGGAAAGTACGATATCTTTTTTTAGTAGTATCAATGAACTCGAGGCATCTTGCGCGATCGATATGACCTATAATATCCTCCGTCTTAGAGATTCATCACTTTTTTCTAGACAATTCTCTTGTTTACGGGAAAAAGGATTAATTTTACTAACAATATTGTAGCAGCAAATATTGAAATGATCGTAACTCAATAACTTTTGTATAAACTTTTAGAAGACATAAGTCGTGAAACTATTACATTTGACACAAGTTTTACACGCCAATAAAACAATATCATTAGCAATAAAAAAGTGTTGATCTCTACCGCGGCAAGGGATCGAGATCATCTTGTCCATATATATTCAGATCGGTCTTCTGTTCAGAACTACAGCTAGCCATAGTTATAGAGAAGATATCGAGTTATCAAATTTGTCACTAGGCAGCACATCATACCGAAAGACAAAGGTATTCTTTATTAATTTATTTTTTGTTGTATAGACCAATATCACAAAAAATAACACAAGTAAATTTAATATTCAAATTATTTTCATGATAAAAAAAAAAAAAAAAAATGTTTATTTAAAGGATATTGATAGAAAATTAGATGCAAATATTGATTCAAGAACGATAATGAATCAAGAAGCACCATTATCAATAAAATTAAAAATAAAAGAACCAGGACGTTCAGCATTTTCATTAATTTCATTTAAATATCAACCAAGTATTGATCATCCAGTGAGTGTTGCACAAGAATTAGTGGCTGAAAATCATGTATATGGACATGATTATATATTAGTTGCAGCTAATATTGATAAAGTACTTTCACATAAAGGAAAAATTCGATTTATATTACATAAAATTGATGGCAAAGGTTTGATTGCTTATTTTTCAATCTAATTTCTTTTTGTTCTTAATATTCATTCATTGAATTCATTTAGAAAAAGAACCACCATCTTATGCTGAAATTTCTATTGGTGATACATCTTTAACAGGAACAAATAAAAGTCTTTCAAATAGTGGTTTTCGTTCAGCTGGTTCCATTCGTCACGAAAATAGCGCTCATGAAACAACAACAACAACAACAACAGCAGCAGCAACAACAACAACTGCTATTAAAACAGATGATATCATTACATCAATAACTTGAGCGAGTATAATACATCATTGTAAATGACCTTGTAAAAGCCAAGCATTCAGCCATACCATGATTTAATCATTAACAACAAACATTGGACATATGTAAGCTTAGTGTCTAAATATTTTGACTGACAACATGACAAAAAATGCATATGTGTATATATACATATATGGACAGAAAAAGTTGCAAGTGTCAATAGTTAAACTGTTTTCTTTACTTGTTGTGTTTCATCAAACGCATTTTTTATGTTATATCAATTATATAAAAAAAAGAAGAGAGAGAGTCTATATAGATATATGATATTTTAAAGAAAAATAAAATGTTATCATTTTCAAATTAGATATTGTTGTTCTTGGGTGTTATTCACTTGGGTAAATGTTACGATGAAAAGCTCAGAACGAAGAATACATTAAAACTTTTTAAGCAATGTTATTGATGTTCTTAATAGAGACGATTCGATTAGACCATTTTCTTTTTATGAGAAAATAGAAGAGCAGTGTAATTTCTATGCTTTTTCTAGCTGTTGTTGTTGTTGTTGTTGTTGGTATTTTATTTCGGATGTGCAATTATACATACCACCATGAATAACTTTTTATGATCGAGAGAACAACATGCTCAAGAATTTACAGCTAACCAATTATTCTCTGTATTCAAGAATATACACTTATATTATAAGAGAACGGAAACTCGAAGGATAATGAATGTAACGAAGAGGAAAGAGTCTAAAACCGAATTATTATCAATATGATATACAGTCAAGTTGAATAGATTATTCAGTTTTAATATGACTATCATTTTCAAAATAATCCTAAATATTTATTAGAATTTATAAAAATATTATTGATAAGATGACAATATTTCTATTATTGTTTTTGTTTTTGCTTTTTTCTTTGTGGCTCTTAAACATAATAATAATAATAATAATAATAATTGAAAATACATTCATTATCAATAATGTGATAATCAAATTTTCAAATTTTTTTAAGTTGATATGACATTTTTTTGTGTTTCTTATATATTTCATATTGGGTTATTATAATTTGTAGAAAGTCAATACATAATAAGAAAATGAAGGAAAAAAAACATAGTATTTATGATGAATTCTTCTCTAATGATGAACGACGGTTGGATGAGTGTATGAAATTGAATTTCGCTGCTTTCCGTCGTTCAATTTACCATCTCATTGTTATTCTAATTGTTTGTCAAGTCTCTTTCTCATCCTATGACTACTGTTTTTTTCTTCAATTCTTGACGAAATAGCTTTCAATGACCGAGTGTGAAATTGACGATGCATACCAACATAACATAGGAGCATATTAGGCTTGTTTCGAATCTACTAGCTAATTATAAGTAATATAGAAATAATGGACACATTCTCTTCTCCTTCTTCTTCTTCTTCTTCTTCTTCTTTTTTCTCTCTTCTCTATTTTCTCCTCTATCTCTGTTTTTAGGTTTGATCTCAACCAGAACACACACACACACACACACACGTCGGCCAGAGCCAGATTACATTTTTCTGCCTCTGTCGTTTTCTTTTTTCGAAG